AACGTCTTATTTCGGGGCGCCTGGGGGGCTCGATCGTTAGCGTCTGTTTTGCAGCATTATCTTTGCTCTTTCTTGAAGGTTAGCTCTTTTAAAGTTATCTAATTCAAATCCTAAAAACTTTTAAATGAACAGAATGCTAAAATCTTGAAGTAAAGTTCGTTTACATCGTATTGCTTTTTACTTTCATAACCTTTTTACTTTCTGTACTTGCAAGAGACACTTAGGCATCAAAAAAAAAGGTGTTATGGAGTAGAAAGTATTCTTTCGCAGCTCAGGGAAAATGTCCAAAGTTCAGATTAAGGTATGAAATTGAACAGGGTACTAAATTTAGAATTATTAAACTCTTTTTTTTCTTAAAGATTTTATTTATTTATTTGACAGAGAGAGACACAGCGAGAGAGGGAACACAAGCAGGGAGAGTGGAGGGGGGAGAAGCAGGCTTCCCGCAGAGCAGGGAGCCCAATGAGGCTCGATCCCAGAACCTTGGGATCATGACCTGAGCCGAAGGGAGACGCTTAACGACTGAGCCACGCAGGCGCCCCGAATTATTAAACTTTTTTTTTTTTAAGATTTTATTTATTTGAGAGAGAGAGAATGAGAGATAGAGAGCACAAGAGGGAAGAGGGTCAGAGGGAGAAGCAGACTCCCCGCTGAGCAGGGAGCCCGATGTGGGACTTGATCCTGGGACTCCAGGATCATGACCCGAGCCGAAGGCAGTCGCTTAACCAACTGAGCCACCCAGGCGCCCCGAATTATTAAACTCTTGAAGACGATTTTTACTGCAGAAGCTGGTACTCATTACATATTAAATAATAAGGCTGCACGTATGGCAATACAGAAAAAAAAATGTGTGACACCTATCTTCTTCCTTTAGATAAGCTACTCCTGTCGAGAATACTATTTCTACAGGGGCGCCTGGGTGGCTTAGTTGTTGGGCGTCTGCCTCCGGCTCAGGTCAGGATCCCAGGGTCCTGTGATCGAGCCCCGCATCGGGCTCCCTGCTCGGCGGGAAGCCTGCTTCTCCCTCTCCCACTCCCACTGCTTGTGTTCCCTCTCTCACTGTGTCTCTCTCTGTCAAATAAATAAATAAAATCTTAAAAAAAAGAGAGAGAGAATACTATTTCTACAGCCTAAGTCATTTCTGAACACTTGTCCAAACTATTTTTTGTGGATGCATTGTAAATATGTATTTATTTAGTTACTTTTTTAAAAAAAAAGTAAGCACCACGTCCAACGTGGGGCTTGAACTCATGACACTGAGATCAAGAGTCGGCTTGCTCTACTGAGTTAGCCAGGCACTTCTAATGAGCCACTTTTGATTCATACTGCATAGTTCTCTTTTTATTTGTCCCAGTGATACCAAATGTTTAGACTTTTTGGTACTGAAACCTAAAAAGTCCTTAAGGGTTTCAGATAAAAGAGCACCTATTGGGCACCTGGGTGGCTCAGTTGGTTGGGTGACTGCCTTCGGCTCGGGTCATGATCCAGGAATCCGCTGGATCGAGTCCCGCATCGGGCTCCCCGCTCGGCAAAGAGTCCGCTTCTCCCTCTGACCCTCCCCCCTCTCGTGTGCTCTCTCTCTCTCTCTCTCTCTCTCTCATTCTCTCTGTCTTAAATAAATAAATAAATAAATAAATAAGAGCACCTATTATGAAGACAGGAGTGCCTTATTTAATGCTAATTGCTCTCCTGAGATATGCACACGATGCAGGCTCCAAATGGCTGAAACTTGGTCTGATAAGTTGATCACAAGTGACTCGTCCCCTCCTGACAGTAGGTGCAAGAGAACAAGAACTCTTGCAGAATTTGTCTTTATGGTGAATGGGGTAAGATTTAACATAGCAACAGCTTTGCCAGGAATTGGTTCCTCTCTGGCCTTCCATGTCATTCCTTTGCACATAAATATTCTTTTCTGGGTTGTTTTTGGTTTTTTAAAGATTTTATTTATTTGAGAGAGAAAGAATGAGAGATAGCACGAGAGGGAAGAGGGTCAGAGGGAGAAGCAGGCTCCCTGCCGAGCAGGGAGCCCGATGCAGGACTCGATCCCGGGACTCCAGGATCATGACCTGAGCGGAAGGCAGTCGCTTAACCGACTGAGCCACCCAGGCGCCCAATATTCTTTTGGTTTTAAAAGCTAATGTGCAGGGGTGCCCGGGTGACTCAGTCGTTAAGCGTCTGCCTTCGGTTCGTGTCGTGATCCTGGGGTCCTGGGATCGAGCCCCGCTTCGGGCTCCCTGCTCTGTGGGGGGCCTGCTTCTCCCTCTCCCACTCCCCCTGCCTGTGTTCCCTCTTTCGCTGTGTCTCTCTCTGTCAAATAAAATCTTAAAAAAAAAAAAAAAAAGCTAATGTGCAGGAGGGGCACCTGGCTGGCTCAATCAGTGGAGTGTAAGACTCGATCTCAGGGTCATGAGTTCAAGCCCCACGTTGGGTGTAGAGATTACTTTTTTTTAAATGTTTTATTTATTTATTCATGAGAGTCAGAGAGAGAGAGAGAGGCAGGGGCAGAGGGAGAAGCAGGCTTTCCGCAGAGCAGGGAGCCCGATGCGGGACTCGATCCCAGGACCCTGGGATCATGACCTGAGCCGAAGGCAGATGCTTAACCATCTGAGCCACTCAGGTGCCCCGGATATAGACATTACTTGAAAATAAAAATCTTTTGGGGCGCCTGGGTGGCTCTGTCGGTTGAGCGTCTGACTCTTGATTTGGGCTCAGGTCATGATCTCAGGGACCTGGGATCGAGTCCTGTGTTGGGCTCCATGCCCAGTGGGGAGTCTGCTTGAGGATTCTCTCTCCCTCTCCCTCTTCCCCCACTCACACACTAAAATAAATAATTGAAAAATATATATATAGTAACAATAAAAAAATAATCTTTGGGGTGCCGGGCTGGCTCAGTCATTAGAGCATGCAACTCTTGTATCTCAGGGTTATGAGTTTGAGCACCACATTGGGTGTAGATTACTAAAAACAAAAATTTCTAAAAAATAAATAAAAGAATATGTGCAAATTGAGTGAAAAGTACTCGGCACAATCGTTAGTTTCCTCTAAATCTTTTTATTTTTTATGATTTTATTTGTCTGACAGAGAGAGACAGCGAGAGAGGGAACACAAGCAGAGGGAGTGGAAGAGGGAGAAGCAGGCTTCCCGCTGAGCAGGGAGCCCGATGCAGGGCTCGATCCCAGGACCCCGGGATCCTGACCTGAGCCGAAGGCAGACACCTAACGACTGAGCCACCCAGGCGCCCCAAAATCCTTTTTTTAAAAGTCAATATGCAGATATACCTAAAAGAATTGAAAACGACTTCAGACACTCGTACACCCACATTCATAGCAGTACCAGTCACAAGAGGGGAAGGGTGGAACCCCAAGTCAGCGTCAACAGATGAACACAATGTGGTATATCCATACAGTGGAACGCTATTCAGCCATAAAAGAAACAAAGTTCTGACACGTGCTACATGGATGAACCTTGAAAACATTATGCTACACGAAATAAGCCAGACAGAAGACAAATATTGTGTGACTCCACTTGTGTGAAGTATCTTGTGCAGGCAAATTCATAGAAACATAGATTAGGAGCTACCAAGCGACTAGGGAAAGGAGGGGTGGGGAATTCCTGCCTAATGGTTAATCGAGCTTCTGGCTGGGGTAACATTTTGGAAGTAGGGGTGCCAGGTTGGCAGAGTCAGTAAAGCATGACTTTTTTTTTTTTTAACCTGAGAGAGAGAGAGAGAGAGAGAGAGAGAAAGAGGAGCAGTGGGGAGAAGCAGAGGGAGAAGCAGGCTTCCCACTGAGCAGGGAGCCCGATGCAGGGCTCGATCCCAGGGCCCTGGGATCATGACCCGAGCTGAAGGCAAATGCTTAACCGACTGAGCCACCCAGGCGCCCCAAGTGTGTGACTCTTGATCTTGGGATTGTTTGAGCCCCACATTGGGTGTAGAACTTAGGCAAAAAAATTTTTTTAACGATTGAAAAAAGTTTTGGAAATAGGTATTAGTGATGGTTGTACACTGTGAATGTAATTAATGCCACTGACTTGTACCTTTACAGGGCAATATAAAGTTGGATGTGAGGATCAAAACAAAATCCCAGGAAGGTATAAGGATTTTTTTTTTTAGGATTTAAAAAAATTAAGAAACAATTTAACTCAGTCAGCGTTTAAATTTCTACTATGTAACAGAAAAGATGGATACTGAGATAAACGTGGTTCCCAATCTCACCGAGAAAGATAGCAAGATAATGAGACTTTCCAAATCTTCAATTCTTTCAACATGGTAAATATTGAGGACATTGCTTTCCATCCACTCAGAAAGCAAGAACCTTTCTCTACATGTCAGCGAGCAAGCTAAAACCAGACCTCAGATCACTAGACTTGGAAACAACCCGCACAGAATAAGCATCTTGCTGGAGCATAATCCTCACTGTACTGATGTTCGTGTCCACTCAGTTCTTCCAGCATCTGCAACCCCGAGGACTTGCTAGAAATGAACATTCCTGGGCCCTACCCAGACCTCCTGGATCAGAAACTCTGGGGGTGGGGCCCAACCATCTGTCACAGTGTGCCCTGCCGGTGAGTCTGACATGCTACATGGGAGAACCATGGGTCGGGAGCACAGGAAGGCATGGCTTGTCACCAAACCCAGATCAGAAAGAACCCAGGTGGAAAAAAGCCAACCAGTTGGCTTTTGAAACAAACATGCACAGTGTTTTCCCACCGCTTGAAAAACAGGTTTATGGAGAGAACCCGATTTTGAAAGAATGAAAAACCTATGTTTTTTTTTTTTTTTTAAAGATTTTATTTATTTCTTCGACAGACAGAGCACAGGCAGGCAGAGTGGCAGGCAGAGGGAGAAGCAGGCTCTCTGCTGAGCAGGGAGCCAGACGTGGGGCTTGATCCCATGAGCCTGGGATCACAACCCAAGCCGAAGGCAGTCGCTTAACCGACTGAGCCACCCAGGTGCCCCTGGCTTTTGTTTTAAACAGCAAAAGAATTGAAAAAAGAAGTGATCTTTACAAGTATGAGTTTATTCTTTAAGTTTTTACACACCCACAAATAGTGCTTTTATTGCAGCTCTATCCAGGAGCCAAAAACAATGTAAAATATGTACTTGTATCACACATGTAACAGAGGAGATAGAAGGAAACAGTATGAATTTTAAAGATTAGTTTTTCAATGATTCAGTGAGCATATGGAAATTGAGGATAATTACAGAAATAGCTAGTGAACTCTAAAATAAAAACAAATTATATAAAAATAAAAGGGCAAAAACCATCTCATTTAAAAAATGAAAACAAAAAACAGTGGCTTATCACATCTCTGCTAGTTAGTAACCTAATGAAAATGAAAAGGAGTCAAGTATTATCTTTTCCATATTTAAAACAAAGTGGTTCTATCCTTTTCACAAACAGGCAGCTGTAGGTCTGAAATGGAAGCCGGGATTTGGGGTTCTGAACACCTCAAATATTTTACTGCCCTGTGTTAATGGATTCTTCTTTGTAACACTAAGAAATTTAAGTTTGCTTGGAGACGAAAAAAACAAGAACTGGATGAGCAGTTAAATCAAATGGGATTTAGTTACTGGGACAGTAACAAATGGCACCAAATCAGAACACACAAAGAGCTTAGTTTGAGGGCAAGCATGTTAAATAAAGACCAAAGAAGAGGACCATTTGAGATCTTTATAACAACCAAGTATTTGGCCAAATAGCCTAGGTTTGGCAAGTACAAGGGTAATGAGTTAGTGAGTTAATGAGAAGCTAGATTCAAATTAGCTCCAACTTGATTTACAAATTAACAATACAACATCATTTTTTTCTATCCTTTTCATGCAGAAGAAAATATAAAGCATATTCCTACTGCTAGTGTGAACTTCTGGTGTTCCTTGCCATATTTTTGGTTAGATTTTTAAAGATAAGTGGTAGATGTTTGTTATTAATGTGACCAATACATTAAATTTCCAAATAGAATTAGATTTAATACTAGGTTATTACTCACAATGACTCAGCATAAATAGCAGAGACCCCACAAATGTCCCCAGCCCTGGGACCACAGAGGACAATTTAGTGACCATTAAATGAAAATGAATTACGAAAAATGCTATTTCCAGAATGTCTTTTTCCCCCACTACCTTCATTTGGGTTTTTAAAAAAGTAGACCTCATACTTTCTTTGTTTCAACATCATTTTAAATAAGCTTCTAACATTGTTTCAATCTTCAGTTTTCCCTGAAATATATCAAATTTTAAAAAACTTCCAAAATTTGCTATTAATTGATTTCAGATGTTTCTTTTGAGAGTAAAACTACTTTTGTTAACTTCTGTAAAAAAAAAAAAAGTCAATACTATGCCATTTGCTAAGAGGGTGGCTGAGTCTTTTTTGTTGTCATTTTTTAAAGCATTTTAGGTAGTAATCCAGTGTTCATATAATGGAACTAAAGTTCCTATAAGGAGATAATGAATTTGGAACATTAACGATGTAATTAGACCTTTAAGTGAAAGTCACAAAGAAATCTTATAAAAATGACTTTGTGTGTTAAACTATGTCAATACAATGTCACTTGATTTTGTTCAACTGGTCAAGTCAGAGAAAGGGAATGAAAATAATCAAGCTACTGTGACTGAAACTAGTCTGACTCAAGGGGAAAAAAAAACACATGTATGTTTTCAGCCTACCAGATCACTCTACATACACTCAATGCTAAAATACAAATTCTTCACAAATCACAACTCTATCGCAAATGTTCTTATATGTCCTATGTTGTTTTTTAAATTCTATCAAATTGATAGCTTTACAACAGAATTTCTTTTATTTAAAAAATACTTAAATCACTATCCCACAAAATGTTCAGAAACACACGTAAGTATAGAAAGTCAATGTGCATATACGTTTATTATTATAATTATGGTTGTTAGCTGAATGAGAACAAATAACAGCTAAAAAGTTTTCAAATGACAGAAAAACACATTTGGTTAAGTTATGACACAATTTTTTGAGTATGTAGACAATAGAAATGTATTTTTTTTTTTTTGCACCAATTGCAAATGCAAAGTTAACGATAAAATCAGGGAGCTGAAAGGTCAAAAGGGGCCTTAAACATATTCACTATCTTTTAAATTTTAGACAAAGGAGCTGAGAATATAGAAAACACAAACAAACAAACCCAACATTTACACCATAACAGTCTTTTTTTTTTTTTTTTTAATGACTTCCAATTTTAACTCTTTTCTAAAAGCATTAGGGGCGTTGAGACCCTTATTGTAGATTATGTATCATCTCCTCTTTGGCTATGAGGTGTGTAGTTTTGTTAACTAGAGACATCAGTGAGTTCAGTTTCTGAGACCAGTCATTTAATAAATTATTTGGATCCTTGGGTCTCTGGAAGTTGATAATTCCTGCCAACCTGTCTACTTTAGCAAAGATGGTCTTGTTAACTACTAGATTCGAAAGAAAAGCTTCTGACTCCTGCAAGAGAGAAAGGCAATTGGATTAAGACAGGATAATTACAGACAATAAACTTTAAGGAAAGTATTTTCTAAACTCTTTACCTAAGAAAATGCAGGACTAAAATTCACTGTTCTAGTTAGCAACTGTTAACTTCCCGTAATAACATACCATTCTACTGCGAGTCTAGGAATGAACAGACTACGAGTCTACCCATATCAGGGTGGAGTTTGAATCAGCCTCCGTGCAAACTCAACCCTGTTGATAACTGCAGACAGCCAGCCTGCTGCCAATGGCAATTTGGTCCACACTCTTGGTCTACAATGTTTCCCCCTAACCATTATACAGATAATTTGTTTCCAGAAATGCTGGGTTACCATATATGCTCTGCCACTGGTGACTACCTAGTCAAGAACAAGACACTCTACTTCTAAGGACGCTGGTACCCTTGTCCAGAAATGTAAGTAGCTAACGCGCCAACCAAGGATCAAACCTTCGACCTCTAACATCCGTGATTCTTCTTTTTTAGGTAACCCGAAAAACTCTGTCTGGTGATAGAAATGGCTTCTGGATTACCTCACTTGACCCCGGCCTCTGTGGTGGTATACATGTCACCAACAGGAACACATACCTGCTCCTCTAACAGGACCTGACCTCTCTCTGCAAGGGAAATGCAGTCAAGTCTCTCTCCCATTTTCTATGGCTCATTTCTGGGAACCTAGATGTATTCATTATAGAAATATATACCCTGCACTGCAGATGAATCGATGTAAAACTACCGTACTGAAGTGAAGATTTTAACTAGGACACATAATATTAATGTAACTATAAACTTGTTATTTAAGGTATTTTTTGGTATTCAAGATAGCCTGGAGAAACTCTGTCACCTAAACTTAAAATTAAATAATAAAACAAAACTGGTTTTCTCATTCAATTTTTACAAGTCAGCTGATATTCAAAGTGACTGGCTACAAACAACTCCAACTACTTACATCGACAGACAGGTCGAGAAGCTGAGCCATCCTCTGCATTGTTATCCTCGTGTAATACTTGGCCATTATTCTAATATTCTGGGGAGAGGACAAAGGGCATGAAGGACATACAACAGTCATCAGTAAGGCTAAAAACCCATTTGTTTTCATATCCAAATAGGTCTACTTTATTTTTTTCATATCCAAATAGGTTTAGTTAAAATGTCAGATTCAGAGCTTTTCTCTATAGCCCACCACTGGAGTGAAACTGGTTCTAAACTTCAGTAACAAAGCAAAATTTAGATATTTTGGTTTCTGCAGTTATTTGTAACTTATTCTGAATACTTTCCACAACTCTTTTTAAATATATATAGTCAAGGGCACCTGAGTGGCTCAGTCAGTTAAGCATCTGCCTTTGGCTAAGGTCATGATCCCAGGGGCCTGGGATCAGCCCTGCATCAGGTTCCCTGATCAGCGGAGAGTCCGCTTCTCCCTCTGCCCACCCCCCAACACTCATTCTCACGCTCTTTCAGATACATAGAATCTTATGGAAAAAAATATATATAGTTAAGACGTAGGCTTATCTTAACTAAAATAGTGGTTAAAAACTGTAACTGTAGGGGCGCCTGGGTGGCTCAGTTGGTTAAGCAACTGCCTTCGGCTCAGGTCATGATCCTGGAGTCCCGGGATCGAGTCCCACATCGGGCTCCCTGCTCAGCAGGGAGTCTGCTTCTCCCTCTGACCCTCTTCCCTCTCGTGCTCTATCTCATTCTCTCTCTCAAATAAATAAATAAAATCTTTAAAAAAAAAGACTGTTTAAAAACTGTAACTGTACTGGGACGCCTGGGTGGCTCAGTGGGTTAAGTGTCTGCCTTTAGCTCAGGTTCAATTCTCCCTCTGCCTGTGTGCACTAGCTCTCTCTTTAATAAATAAATAAAACCTTAAAAAAAACTGTAACTGTACTAAAAGGTTTTTGCTAAACTTTAGAATCTAAAGTTAAACTTTAATAATTATGACACAAAGGCTCAGATTCAAAATATGATTGACAGCATCTTAAGACACCACATTTTCATCATTATAACTACTTAAAGGTAAACTGAAATTAAATTTCCTTTTCACTGGGAACAGTTCCCTTTATTATTCTTTTTAAAAAAGGATTAATTTATTTTAGAGAGAGAGTGTGGGGGTGGGGGTAAGGATGGAGGGAGAGGGAGAATTTCAATCAGACTCCCTGTTGAGCTTGGAGCCCGAAGTGGGGCTCGAACCCACAACCCTGCGATCATGACCTGAGCCAAAATCAAGAGTGGGACGCTTAACTGAGCCACTGTTCCTCCCTTTATTATTCTCTATGTTATTAACAAAACAACAGCATTCATAGGAAAAATGGGGACCAGTGGGGAGAGAAAATGAACTGATCTTTGAAGAAGCTGTCCCTCCTTCCGCCTCTATTCAGGTCCATGGCCACACCAACTTCTTAGGAAGAAGGACAATCATTCTAGACCCCTTTTCCTTCATCCCTTAAATGTAATCAGCGACCAAATTCTATTGATTTTCTTTCTTAAAATAATTCCACCCTATCCATTCTTCAATCCCTCTGCTACTGCCTTGACGGACACCCACAAGGGGTGTTCACTCAGAAGTCTTCTCAACTCTATTCCTGTCTCTCCCCAAAATCCATCCTCCACGCTTACTGCCAGAGGGGTCTTTGTAAGATACAAGCCTCGTCACTGTCCTCTCAGGTCAAGGTTTCCACTACTGCAGTATATAAATTTCGTTAAGCTCCAGGCCCTTTCCCTATCTCCGACTTTCTTCCTCACTGAGCCCTGTTCCTGGAGGCGCTTCCGTTCCCTGCTGGCGTGTCTCCGCGTCCCTGCCAGACCATCCGCTCTGTCTGCTCACCGGGTACCCTTCTTACAAATCTTACCTCCTGGGTCAATTACTGTACATCTAGCCTGACCTTTCTTTTTCTTATTTTTTTTTTTTAAGATTTTATTTTTAAGTAATCTCCACAACCAACATACATAGGGCTTGGACTCACAACCCCGAGATGAAGAGTTGCATGCTCCACCAACTGGGCCAGCCAGGAGGCCCCTTTCAGGTAGAACCAATCAACTCTCTACTTATGCTCCACTCCACGTGATATCTATTTGTGCCCTAATATCTAGAATACTTTTATTTATAAATGCATCTTTCCCTATGACTTATTTTTAAGCTGTCTGAAGGTAGGGACCATGTCTTACTTTGCCACGTGTCCCAGCAACTTTGTACACTGTCTGGCACCTAGAAGGCTCACAATAAATGTTTGTTATGTGAATGAATGCTGAGATAATTCAATTTATAGTGACGCCAAGAAGATCAAAGATCAGGTTTAAGACTTGTTACCCATTCCCAAAACTATCAAGCAAGTATCAGAAAGAACGCCTTTCACCCACAACCATCCCCCACATTCTTAAGAAATTCCTTCTGGTTTATATGCTATAAAATTTTGGATTATTATTTTTTAAGATTTTATTTGACAGAGAGACACAGCGGGACAGGGAACACGAGCAGGGGGAGTGGGAGAGGGAGAAGCAGGCTTCCCGCGGAGCGGGGAGCCCCATGCAGGGCTTGATCCCAGGACCCTGGGATCAGGACCTGAGCTGAAGGTAGATGCTTAACGACTGAGCCACCCAGGCGCCCCTTTTTTAAGATTTTTAAGTAATCTCTATACCCAATGTGAGGCTCAAACTACAACCCCAAGATCAAGAGTCACATGCTTTACTGACTGAGCCAGCCAGGTGCCCCTAAAATTTTGAATTCTTCAGAGGTCCCCTCAAAATAAGCATGCTAAAACACAGGCGTTTTGTTTTCTTTTTCTGAAAAGCCAAAAATGGGGAATAGGGCAGGGGGAAATAAGAGGGAGAAGATAAATTGGATATGGTTTTGGAAATACACAACAGACATTCGAACAACAAATTTACATCACTACTACATTGGGCATAGCAAAAAAACCCAAAAAACAAAAATCCTAAAGCAAAGAATTAAAGACATAACCTCCAAAAAAACCATATTTGACTATCAAACTTGAAAAATAAAAGTTTATACTCAAATTTGCCAAAGTTTACTTTCAGATTGGCATCTCTATCATGCCAGATTCTTACATGTTCAACAACTCTGTTCTTCAAGTCTTTCCACCTTCTTTCACCTTCCTCTGTAGAACCAAAAACATCAGTTGCCGGACTCTCAAGAGACCCTTTTCTTAATTCCATTCCATAGTCTTCAACAAGTGTGGACCAACGCATCAGCTCCATTGTGGTAAAAAGCTTTAAAAGATCCCTGTAAATTGTATAAAACTTAATATTCCAAATCTGTAAAAATTAAGTTTCATGTACTATAACAGCAAATGTTCAAATATCGACAAAGACTGTACTTATAAATTTTTATTTGTAGAACAAAACATAAGTTGATTATTATTTATTTTACCTACTTTACTACCATTTTTTCCACACTAATTCTGAATGGAGCATTCCCCTACTTAACATTCTGCTCCCTCCTGCAATGTATTTTCCAGTCTCTGGAATAATTAATGTAAACTTACCAATGAGACAGATAAAAGAAAAACAGCTTTTAATAAATAAAAGCCCACTCTGCTTAGGAAGTGTATACTTCTGAAAATCACAAAGCCCCAAACTACTAAGACTAAACTTTATCACACGGTTAGTTAACCAAAAGCTGCTAAAGTGAGCTTGAAATGCAACTTCTATTTGATAAATGGCTTATTTATTTTTTAAAGTAGGCTCCACACCCAGCATGGAGCCCGACATGAAGCCCAAACTCACAACCCCAAGATCAAGACCTGAGCTGAGACCAAGAGCTGGATGCTTAACTGAGCCACCTAGACGCCCCATGATAAGTGGTTTGGAATGAAGTGTGTTATAACCTCATTAATTTCTTTTTTTTTTTTTAAGATTTTATTTATTTATTTGAGAGAGAGAGAATGAGAGATAGAGAGCATGAGAGGGAAGAAGGTCAGAGGGAGAAGCAGACTCCTGCTGAGCAGGGAGCCCGATGTGGGACTCGATCCTGGGACTCCAGGATCATGACCTGAGCCGAAGGCAGTCGCTTAACCAACTGAGCCACCCAGGCACCCTAACCTCATTAATTTCTAATGCAGCGTGAAAAAAACATTTCACTACTCTATGAACTCTAGTTTTATTCACCAATACAATCTATCAGCAACCAAATTAAGCAGGTGGACACTTAGGTTAACCTATTTTCTTTCAAAATGGTGTTTCTGCTGAGATGTACACTACACTAGCTAAAAAAGTACTTACTTGTATTTAGGAATTTCTTCTAACTTCTTGTCACCACTTATTCGGTGAACCAAATCTGACTGTTCGTTGTCAAAAGGAGCCAAAATCACATAGAGGACGACACTTTTCAGAGCCTAAAAGTGTTGTATAACACAATCGATTATAAACAAGCTTAGAAACAAAGTGGAAACTCTGGCAGCAACTAAAAAATCATGGGAGAATTGTCTATATTCATGTCTGATATTATACTCAAGTCTTAGGGACTAAGCATACCACACCAAGCTGCCCTTTACAGTGGCTTCCTGTCACATTAAATTTCTCCGGAACAATTGCAGTAAATCTTTGCTAACTTGAATTACTACCTGGGCTGACATTTTTTGGTGCCAGATATATAAGGAAAAAGTTCTTGTAACAAGTTAGTACAAACACAGAATATACATATAAACCATTTGAAACAGTTTTGTGAAATAATTTTCCAAAATAATACTAGGTCTTTTACCTATAATCTTTGTAGCAAGTGACCTGCTATACATTATTTTATTTTATTTATTTATTTTTAAAGATTTTATTTATTTGTCAGAGAGAGCACAAGCAGGGGGAGCAGCAGGCTCCCTGCTGAGCAAGGAGCCCGATGGGGGACTCGATCCCAGGACCCTGGGATCATGACCTGACCCAAAGGCAGATGCCTAACTGACTGAGCCACCGAAGCATCATTCATTCATTCATTCATTCTCTACACCCAACATGGGGCTTGAAAACTCATGACCCCAAGGATCAAGCGTCGCATGCTCTACCGATTGAGCCAGCCAGGCACTCCTGCTATACATATTTTATTTAAGATTTTTTTTGGGGGGGGGGGCGCCTGGCTGGCTCAGTCGGTTAAGCATCTGCCTTTGGCTCGGGTCATGATCCCAGGGTCCTGGGATTGAGCCCCACATCAGGCTCCCTGCTCAGCAGGGAGTCTGCTCCTCCCTCTGCCCCTTCCCCTGCTTGTGTTCTCTCCCTCAAATAAATAAAATCTTAAAAAAAAATATTTAAAAGAAGATTTTTTTAAAAAAATGTATTTATGTGACAGAGAGAGTACAAGCAGGGGGAGCAGCAGAGGGAGAGGGAGAAGCAGGCACCCCATTGAGCAAGGAGTCTGACAGGGGGCTCAATCCCAGGGCCCCCCGAATCATGACCTGAGACAAAGGGAGATGGCTTAACTGACTGAGCCACCCAGGTGTCCCTATTTTTAAAAGATTTTATTTATCTATTATTTATTTAGAGCATGCTCGCCTGTGCGCAAGCACAGGAGTTGGGGGAGGGGAAGAGGGAGAGAAAGAATCTCAAGCAGATCCCGAGCTGAGTGCAGAGCCTGATTGTGGGGCTTGATCTCACGACCCTGAAATCATGACCTGAGCCGAAATCAAGAGGAGGACTACTTACCCGACTGAGCTGCCCACATGCCCCACTTTTAAACAGTAAGGCTACATTCTTCAAAAGTGATAATTTAGAATATTGTCACAATTCATTTGAATCAGTAAAGATAAACTGAATTATCAACACACTGAACAGAAAGCAGCGCCACACAACCACATATAATTACTGAAGTTAAAATCATTTCAAAATAAAAAATGCAAATTCTTCCTAGTAAGTATCAATGTCAAGTCTAAGAATATATTCTCACCTGTTGCCACTTTTCACTTTCTGCCTGTATACAGGGAGTATCATATATTGCTCTGTAGTGCTTACAAATAGACAAATAAGATCCCTCATGTTGATCCAGCTGAATCATTAAGTTATAATATTTCAATTTTAATTTCTGAAAAAAAAAAGTTGATAAAATAAATTGGGGCTTATGGGTTTTTTCCAAACACTTCTAAAGTAAACTTGCAGTAAAAAACATGCTTACCTCTGTATTTTCTTCCTGGAAAAATTTGGTGTTAATTTTCTTGCTGATGATTTGTGTACGAATGTAATCCTTCACAGCTAGGCAGAGCCTCATTTGCTCCAAGATAAACTCCACTCTCTCCTTCTTTTCCATTGACCCGTAGGTTTCCACCTAGCAAAGTAAGACCCCAAATAAATTTATACTTGGTAATTTCTAAAAATTGCAAAATTAAATGTATGAAAATATTCACACTTGTCAAATAATAAGAACCTTCTCGCAAACTGGGAGAGTGCTGATGATATAGAAAGGTAGTTTCCTCCAGGAAATTACAATTAAAAAAATTATATAGGAAAGTCGATATTTTTTTGTTCTGGCATAAAAAGTTCTGTGAATTTTAGGGGTGCCTGGGTGGCTCAGATGGTTAAGCATCTGCCTTCAGCTCAGGTCATGATCCCAGGGTCCTGGGATCCAGCCCCACATCGGGCTCCCTGCTCAGCGAGGAGCCTGCTTCTCCCTCTCCCTCTGCCTGCTGGTTTCCCTGCTTGTACACTCTCTGTCAAAAAATAAATAAAATCTTTAAAAAAAAAAAGTTCTGTGAATTTTAACATATGTATAGACTTGTGTCATCACAATCAAGATACAGAATAGTTCTATCACCCCAAAACAAACTCCCTCATCTGCCCCTTCAGTCACATACTTCCCCGACTCAGAATGATCTGTTCTCCATCACTACAGACACGTCTTTTCAAGAATGTCAAACACAGAATGTAATCTCTCTCTCTTTTTTTTTTAAAGATTTATTTATTTATTTGAGAGAGCAAGAAGGAGAGAGAGAGAGAGTACATGAGACAGGGGAGGGTCAGAGGGAGAAGCAGGCTCCTCGCTGAGCAAGGAGCCCGATGTGGGACTCGATCCCGGGACTCCGGGACCATGACCTGAGCCGAAGGCAGTCGCTTAACCAACTGAGCCACCCAGGCGCCCCAGAATGTAATCTCTTGAGACTATCTTTGTTCACTCAGTAGATTCATTTAAGTTGTTATGTATATCAATAGTTCATTCATTTTTTTAAAATATTTTATTTATTTGAGAGAAAGAGAAATAGCACAAGCCGCGGAGAGAGTCAAAGTGAGAAGGAGGAGCAGACTCCCCCCTGAGCAGGGAGCTGACGCGGGGTGCGACCCCAGGACCCTGGGATCCTGACATGAGCCGGAGCAGATGCTTAACCGACTGAGCCACCCAGGCGCCCCAGAAATTACAATTCTAAACACGAAAAAAGGTGTCACTTGCAGGCTTTTTTTTTTTTTTAAAGATTTTATTTATTTGAGAGAGAGAATGAGAGATAGAGAGCACAAGAGGGAAGAGGGTCAGAGGGAGAAGCAGACTCCCCGCAGAGCAGGGAGCCCGATGTGGGACTCGATCCCGGGACTCCAGGATCATGACCTGAGCTGAAGGCAGTCGCTTAACCAACTGAGCCACCCAGGCGCCCTGCAGGCTTTCTATTTATATTAACAAAAAATTACAGAAAGAAGAGGTACTTGTCTTTTTAAAGTTCAGATAACAAGGCTGGTATGACTCCTAACAGATATAGAATGTAGCTTTACAGTAAATATACAACACATACAATATAGAAAATCAATTATGACAAATACTTTTTTTTTTTTAAAGATTTTATTTTATTATTTATTTGAGAGAGAGAGAATGAGAGATAGAGAGCACGAGAGGGAAGAGGGTCAGAGGGAGAAGCACACTCCCCGCAGAGCAGGGAGCCTGATGTGGGACTTGATCCCGGGACTCCAGGATCATGACCTGAGCTGAAGGCAGTTGCTTAACCAACTGAGCCACCCAGGCGCCCACAATTATGACAAATACTATGAAAAACTTTTTTTTTTAAGATTTTATTTATTTATTTGACAGAGAGAGACACAGCGAGAGAGGGAACACAAGCAGGGGGAGTGGGAGAGGGAGACGCAGGCTTCCGGCCAAGCAGGGAGCCCAATGCAGGGCTCGATCCCAGGACCCTGGGATCATGACCTGAGCCAAGGCAGATGCTTAACGACTGAGCCACCCAGGCGCCCCACTATGAAAAACATTTTTAATTTAATATTTGGCATAGACATACTGCAAATGAATTTATAAAACGTAGAATGGTAAAGTGGACTGAAGTAAGGCTATTTCATTACTATTATTAGGCCTGAAAAAAGTTTTTATTTCATGATCTTTGTAATTTTTTGTTAAGGAAAATAAAAACCTATACAATGAGCCATCAATGTTTCATTTATGTATCTTCACCCACTCTCCATGTGTCAATTACTTTGAAGCAAACTTCAGACAACGTGTCATATATTTCAATATGTCTCTAAAAGATAAACTTTGAAAAGTTATCTAAAAATTCCTTATATCACCAAATATCTAGTCAGTCCCCAATATCTATCTTATTTATTTTAATTAAATCAGAACCGAAATAAGGCTCATACTTTGCAGCTGGTAGAGCAGTTTCTTTTTTTTTTTTTTTTAAAGATTTATTTATTTATTTATTTGAAAGAGAGAGAATGAGAGAGACAGAGAGCACATGAGAGTGGGGAGGGTCAGAGGGAGAAGCAGACTCCTTGCTGAGCAGGAAGCCTGATGTGGGACTCGATCCCGGGACTCCAGGATCATGACCTGAGCCGAAGGCTGTCGCTTAACCAACTGAGCCACCCAGGCACCCTAGAGCAGTTTCTTATGGCTCTTTTTTTCTTGCCATTTATTTGTTGACAAAATCAAGCCAATCATCCTATAGTTTCCTAGAGTCTAAATTATGCTGATTGCATCCCTGTGGTATCATTTAATAGGCTCCTCTGTCCCTAGTATATCCTGTAAACTGGTAGTTAAACCTAGAAGCTTTATATAACTGAGGTGAATTTTTTTTTGGCAAGAATATTTCAGAGGATGTTGAATCATGAGGCACACAATCCTCCTGGTTGAAAACAGAGTTTGAAGGCAAAGCTATGGAGACAGTAGAAAGATCAGCAGTTGCCAGGGGTTGGAACGGGGAGGAAAGAGGAATAGGCAGACCACAGAGAATTTTTAGGGCAGTGAAATTATTTTATACGATACTACGTTGATGAACACAGATCATTATGCGTTTGTCAAAATCTGCAGAACATACGATACGAAGAGTGAAACTTAATGCAAACTATAGACTTCAGGTGACCACATGTCGATGTAGGTTCATCAACCCTAACTAATGTACCACTCTGGTGGGAGATGTTGGTAGAACAGGAAGTTGTGCATGTGTGTGCGTGTTGCAGGGGGAGGGCATCAGGCGGCACATGGGAACTCTTTCTGTACTTGCCGCTCAACTTTGTTGTGAACCTAAAACTGCTCTAAAAAATAAAGTCTTTTAATTAAAAAGAAGAAAAGAAGTCTGAAGCCAAACACAACTAGTATGAATCTGAACTCCACCACTTCTTGGCAATGACTTATTAGGCACATTACTTAATCCCTTTGAGTTTGGGTTTCCTTGGCAGAAAAATGGGGATAAAAATAGTATTGTATATGAACACTGAAGAAGATAAAATGTATAGAGAACACAGGACATGGTTAAAAAAAAACAATAAAAACAATGCATAGCACACAAGATCCCCTCAGTGTTATTTTTTCCCTTCCTTTAGCTAAAATGGCACATGGCTGAAGCAATTTAACTTAATGTGGAAAACTTGATGGACCAAAATTATAAGGAAAATTTTGAGTGAGTGCGTCTATGGCTTTTCTCAGATTTCTTAGTCCATTGATGTCTCATTTTAAGATCTCTCTTAAATTTGTCCTGAAACATGGCAAATTATGAGGCAATTTTTCTTTGTTAAAACAATTTAGCCTAGAAATTGACCATCAATCAAATATTCATTTAGAATGAAGCTAATGATTAACAGCAAATCCCTAAGGCATACATAGTACCTGAATTACTAATTTAAGTTCTAAAGAGAATGAAAATTTTCAAAAAGCACAAAATCAAGACTAATGCATCAATTCTAACTTTTCTTCAAAACTTTTTTTAGCAGTTAGTCAGAACCCTAATTACATAATTTTCAGACACCTGAATATCAACCTTACACTCCCCTGTACTCACTTTTAGTCTTGGTAGTTTTGAAAAAGTGATAAGGTGTCAAAATAAGCTATTTCCATAAGAAATACTGCTGACTAAACATAAAGATTTTCACATTCTAAATACAACTCCTTACCTGTAACTCCTGTAAAATGGAGGCGGCCTCTTTCACGTCACCGTTTTGCTCTTTTATAGTTGCTAACGTTTTCGTCAGTCGAGCACGCTCAATTTCAACATAAATCTACAAATATGAGAAATTTATATTATCAAAATTCCCATGGAAATGTGTTAACATTTTATTTTTTTTTTTAAGATTTTATTTATTTATTAGAGAGAAAGAATGATAGAGAGCATGAGAGGGAAGAGGGTCAGAGGGAGAAGCAGTCTCCCCGCTGAGCAGGGAGCCCGATGTGGGACTCGATCCCGGGACTCCAGGATCATGACCTGAGCCGAAGGCAGTCGCCCAACCAACCGAGCCACCCAGGCGCCCAATGTGTTAACATTTTAAAGATAGAGTTGAACTATTATTCAAACTAAGCCTAACAGTATTTATCCTGCAGTTATTGTGCACCTTATCCTCCATGTACAAATATAGCTGTATGATATTTTACATTTCACAATCACGAAATTTTTTTTAATTTATTCATTTCAGAGACAGAAAGAGAGGGTGTGCGCGAGCACATACATGCCCACGCATGCATGCCCAGGGAGGAGGGGGAGAGGGAGAGAGAGAATCTAGAGCAGACTCCCTGCTGAATGAGCCTGACTCAGGGCTCGATCTCACGACCCTGAGATCATGGCCTGAGCCAAAATCAAGAGTTGGACATGACCAACTGAGCCACCGAGGCACCCCACAATCACATAATTTTTAAGAAAAGGTCTCTACGAAACATAATCCATATTTTGTAGCTTTGCCTCAAGAGCCTAAATATGAAATCATTGTGTTTAATGAATAACAGAACCATAAGCTACATTAAATAGTACAGAAAATAGAACAGTGTCTTTAAAAGAATTATTTGAGGGGTGCCTGGCTGGCTCAGTCAGTAGAGCACGTGACTCTTGATTTTGGGGTCATAAGTTCAAGCCCCACACTGGGTGTAGAGCTTATTTAAAAAAAATAAATAAAAATATTTGATCTTGTTAAAGTTATCAGCGTTTTTTGCAGATATAAGTAATGTTAGTGGATTTATAATTTCCAACAAATTAAACATCAAAAATATAACTATAGCCTAATGGAGTCTAGGGAACTAATTTTTATGCTGCTTAGGCTTGCTTATCCCTTTAGCCTTTGTTCTGCAGCAACCCCTTTCCCCACTCCACCCCCAAAACCTTAATTTCTAAGAATAACAAACTACTTTCACTTTCCTAAACGTCCCATGTGTTTCTTTCTTTTTTTTTAAGGATTTATTTCAGAAAAATCGTGGGCACGAGCGGGGGTGGGGTGCGGGGAGGGATAGAGGGAGAGAGAGAGAATCTCAAGCAGACCCCTGGTCAGCACGGAGCCCAACATGGGGCTGGATCTCATGATTCTGAGATTGTGACCTGAGCCGAAATTAAGAGTCAAGACACAGCACCGTGACTATTTTTATGACGGATCTCTCTGAGGAGGTAAAGAACAGTGTTCTCAGGGTTGCAGGTTCAAGCCCCATGTTGGGTGTAGAGATTACTTAAAAAAAAATAAAATCTTGGGGTGCCTGGGACGCCTGGGTGGCTCAGTCGGTTAAGCGTCTGCCTTCGGCTCAGGTCATGATCCCGGGATCCTGGGATCAAGTCCCGCATCAGGCTCCTTGCTCAGCAGGGAGCCTGCTTCTCCCTCTGCTTGTGCTCTCTCTCTCTCTCTCTCTCTGACAAATGAATAAATAAAAAATCTTTAAAAAAAAAAAAAAATCTTGGGGTGCCTGGGTGGCTCAGTTGGGTGAGCATATGACTTGATTTTGGCTCAAGTCATGACCTCAGGGTCATGAGACTGAGCCCCATGTTGAGCTCCACATTTGGTGGGGAGTCTGCTCAAGATTCTCTCTTCCTTGCCACCCCCCCAACCTCACACGCTCTCTCTAAAATAAATAAATCTTAAAAAAATAAAAATCTTTGAAAAAATTTTACTGAAGTGACAAAGACCTAATAAATATAACCTAAGTTTTTATCCTCAGATGACAAAAATCTGTCTAGAAAAAAAAATATATTTACGTCAGTCACCATTTCATACTTGTCCTTTTTAGAGAAACATAAAATTAGGAGAAAGAAGGGATCAAAAGAAATACAAATGGATTCTGGCAAGACAGTGAAATTTTGAAAATTAAACTTACACTGTGACTACGCTATTCTTCTTTTTTTTTTTTTTTTTAAAGTAAGCTGTATACCCAACATGGGGCTTGAACTCAAACTCCAAGATCAAGAGTCAAGTTGCCCTACTAAGAGCCAGCCGGGCAGTTAAAAATATTAATAATTAAATAATTATAATAATAATAAATATAATAATTAAAATAATAAAACTATTATGTTAAATAGTAGAGTGAAACCTTAGCTATCCCAAGCATAGATTTCTCAAGCAGATCTAGGCTGGGGTGAAGAATTAGCTTTATGTTGGATTCATTGTTACTGCATGTAAATTTGGGGTAAGATCACTAATTCCTAGAAAAATCTGGATATATCAAGACTGTCATTCGGGGGCGCCTAGGTGGCTCAGTTGGTTGGGCGACTGCCTTCGGCTCAGGTCATGATCCTGGAGTCCTGGGATTGAGTCCCACATCGGGCTCCCTGCTCAGCAGGGAGTCTGCTTCTCCCTCTGACCCTCTTCCCTCTTGTGCTCTCTCTCTCATTCTCTCTCAAAAAAAAAACCAAAAAAAAAAACACACAAACAAAAAAAAGACTGCCACTGGGGCGCTTGGGTGGCTCAGTCGTTAAGCGTCAGCCTTTTGGCTCAGGTCAGGATCCCAGGGTCCTGGGATGGAGCCCCGCATCAGGCTCCCTGCTCAGTGGGAAGCCTGCTTCTCCCTCTCCCACTCCCCCTGTGTTCCCTCTCTTGCTGTGTCTCTCTGTCAAATACATAAATAAAATCTTAAAACAAAAAAAAAGACTGCCACTATTTAAATATATTCATTTGGGGGTGCCTGGCTGGCTCAGTCGGAAGAACATGTGACTCATGATCTCCAGGTCATTAGTTCGAGCCCCACGGTGGGTGCAGAGATTACTTAAAAATAAAGTCTTTAAAAAAAAAAAATATATATATATATATATAAATATAAATACATTCATTTATATATGCGAAGAAACTAGAAGGAAATGTATAAAGATAATGATTGCATGAAGGTGATAATCTTTTTGCCATCTTAAAAAATATATACATACCTATTGATATAATGTCTACATAAGAATCTCTGAATACAGAAAAGACAGGACTTTCCACTGTGAGTTACGCCAATGGAAAACTTACCTTTCCTTCTGTAACCATTCGTAGGGTATCAATTAATCGAAGTTTGATTGGAAGGTCTGTGATTTCCTCAACGTAAGTACAGCACTGTTGAACCATTTTTGCAACAGCCTACAATAATAACCATTCATAAGTAAGATTCATTCCTCATACAGTTAAAAAGGAAGAATTTCATTGATGGAAGAGCTATGTTCAAATCTAGTCTTCCCAAGCAATTCTAGAAATGGAAATGCCTATTAAAAAACATAAGGAGGGTGCCTGGGTGGCTCTGTTGTTAAGCATCTGCCTTCGGCTCAGGTCATGATCCCAGGGTCCTGGGATCAAGTCCCACATCAGGCTCCCTGCTCGGCGGGAGGCCTGCTTCTCCCTCTCCCACTCCCCCTGCTTGTGTTCCCTCTCGCTGTCTCTGTCTCTGTCAAATAAATAAATAAAATCTTTAAAAAAAAAAAAAACATAAGGAGCGGGGCGCCTGGGTGGCTCAGTCTCGCTGCGTTTCTCCCTGTCAAAGTTATCTGACAGGGAGAGAGGCAGCGAGACAGGGAACACAAGCAGGGGGAGTGGGAGAGGGAGAAGCAGTCTTCCTGCCAAGCAGGAAGTCCGATGTGGGGCTCAATCCCAGGACCCCAGGATCATGACCTGAGCCAAAGGTGGACGCTTAATGACTGAGCCACCCAGGCACCCCAATAAATAGAATCTTAAAACAAAACAAAAAAACATAAGGAGTGCTTGGCTGATTTAGTTGGTAGAGCATGGAACTCTTGATCTCAGGGTTGTGAGTTTAAGCCCCACGCTGGGTGTAGAGCTTGCTTAAAAAAAAAAAAAAAACAACTTCATGGGGCACCTGGGTGGCTCAGCTGTTAAGCAACTGACTTTGGCTCAGGTCATGATCCCAGGGTCCTGGGATCGAGCTCCGCATCGGGCTCCCTGCTCCACGGGAGGCCTGCTTCTCCCTCTACCTCTCCCCTTGCTTGTGCTCTCTGTCAAATAAATAAATAAAATCTTAAAAAGAATTTTTTTCCCCAAATGTCTCTGATAGGAGGCGCCTGGGTGGCTCAGTCATTAAGCGTCTGCCTTTGGCTCAGGTCATGATCCCGGGGTCCTGGGATACAGCCCCGCACTGGGCTCCCTGCTGCTCCTCAGGGAGCCTGCTTTTGCCCCTCCCCCCGCTCATGCTTTGTCTCTTTCTCTCTCAAATAAATAAAATCTTTAAAAAAAAAGTCTCTGATAGCTAAGAAGTACTGAACACCTAGTAATAAACTCAAAAAGGTGAGAAAAACCTCAGATGAAAGACTTTACCCCTCTCCACTACAAACAGTGAAGTGATTACATGAAAAGGGGTGTTTGAGGATGTCTATTAGAAGGCTTCCTAGATGGGGCACCTGGGTGGCTTAGTTGGTTCAGTGTCTGCCTTCAGCTCAGGTCATGATCTCAGGGTCCTGGGATCGAGCCCCGCCTCAGGCTCCCTGCCCAGCAGGGAGTATGCTTCTTTGTCTCTCTGCTTATGGTCTCTGTGTCCCTCAAATCAATAAATAAAATTGCAACTACTTTTTGGAGTCAAGCAAAAAAGCATAGAAGTTGCAAAAGACAAAAGGGGGAAGAAAGAGAAGAGAAAAGCAGAGTTCAGGGGTGGCTGTGAACACTACAAAGCCATAGCCAGCAAATACTGGGACTGAAGAAAAGAGTCAGTGGCAGAGGCAGAGCTTAAGTAGTTCCATTCCCTGGGTAGGGAGGAGAAGCCGCAGTCACCCATACTCCCCTCAATAAAATATGACATTGATGGTCACGTATCCCCTGCCCAGGTTCCTCACCTCTAGTTCTAACATTCTATCATCTAGGTCAGGGGTCAGCAAAACATTTTGGTAAATTTTGATAAATATTTACATAGTAAATATTTTAAACTCTGTGGGCCACAGGGTCTCTGGGACAAGTATTCAACTCTGCCTTTGTAAGTACAAAGCTGCCAGACAATGTATAACGAAAGGTGGCTATGTACAAAAACTTTATTTACAAAGCCAGCAGGTGGGATTTGGTCGTGGCCTGTAGTCTGCAACCTCTAATACAGACTCTAAACAGCATTATCAATTATCATAATCATTGAGAATAATAATTCGGACTCTTTGTCATCAAGACAATGCATATTTTTTTAAGATAGAAAAGTAAACAGAATACCTTCTGTCAATTATACCTCAATCAAGCTGGAAAAAAAAATCCCATGGTATATCCTGCAAACATTTCCTTGAAAAACAATATCATGTAGCTCAGGTTGAACTTCTAATTATCTGAAAAATTGGCTGTTCAGAGACACAGGAGTTCCAGAGAGCGAAGGTTTTATTATAAAATAGAACTCTTTCTTTTTAAAAAAAAAATTTTATTTATTTTTTTAAAGATTTTATTTATTTATTCATAAAAGACAGAGAGAGAGAGAGGCAGAGGGAGAAGCAGGCTCCCCGCTGAGCAGGGAGCCCGATGCGGGACTTGATCCTAGGACCCTGGGATCATGACCTGAGGTGAAGGCAAACGCTTAACCATCTGAGCCACCCAGGCGCCCAAAATAGCACTCTTTCAATAAGTGCAAGGCTCTGGGACACCTTGTATCTCAAAAACTGATCCCTCTAACACTAATTATAACCATGATTTCTAGAAGGGCATACAACTTAGTAATTCTAAAAGCTGTGCAAAAACTACATTAACAGAAATCAGATGGGGTACAAGAAAAACAAAACAAAACAATTACATCAATATTCTAATGATAAGTGAACATCCTGCTGTTCCTTGAAAAAAATACAGGTCATTAGGTAAGTCATGGCTGGAGTGAGGCTTACCCCCTGGGCTCAAGTGACAGACAGTGAATTAGAAACCATTAATTTTAAGCAATCTAGAAAAGGTTATTTTAAGAAAATCATTACTTTCTAAGTCTGGTAGAGCAAAAAGAAAAGTTCTAGGTAAAAAGTAATTATGGGAAAAGGAGAGGCATATTTTGTGTCCTTAAGCACTTTCCAGAGCTAAGGAGACATGTCACAGCGAAAAGAGGAGCCCCACTGCAGCTGTGGTCATGCCATTAGCCAGTTGCAAGACTGGTTCAAACTCTTCTTCCTCCAGCAAGCCTCCCTGACAAACCTAATCAAAACCCTCTCTTCCTCCTTTCTTGTCTCCTACTGCCACTCATTGTTCTATGTCATTCACTATATATCGCTGTGTAACTTTTTTTTTAAGATTTTATTTATTTATTTTTTAGAAAGAGAGCGGGCTGTGGGAGGAGCAGAGGCAGAGGGACAAGCAGACTCCGCGCTGAGTGCAGAGCCTGACACAGAGTTCTATCCCTTGACCCCGAGATCATGACCTGGGCCGAAATCCAGAGTCAGCCACTCAACCGAATGCACCACCAAGGGGCCCCTATGTGTGTAACTTTAAAAAAAAACAAATCACCTTGCTACAAATGTAGTACTGTTACCTGTGATTTATACTGTGCACTGAACTAAAGGTTACCTGGCACATTTCTTCACATTCCAAGAGTCTTACATATAAATGTCAGTTTCTCAATCAGAAAAACAACAGAGTTAAACAGTCCCTTTTATTAGCTCTAAAATGTTATGACTCTATTAATAAACTGTATTTTTGGATATGTGCTTTGAATGGCACTTGTACTATTAAAACACATATTTTTGTTTACTTTAACCCAGGTTGCCTCAAGACAAATAAATAAGCAACCCTTTCCAAATTGTCCTACAGAAACAAATCTCTTAGAAAATCAGAGGAAGGGGAGCCTGGGTGGCTCAGTCATTAAGCATCTGCCTACTGCTCAGATCATGATCCCAGGGTCCTGGGATTGAGCCCCACATCGGGGTCCCTGCTCCGCGGGAAGCCTGCTTCTCCCTCTCCCACTCCCCCTGCTTGTGCTCCCTCTCTCGCTTTGTCTCTGTCAAATAAATAAATAAAATCTTAAAAAAAAAAAAGAAAACCAGAGGAAGACAATGGTTCATCTATGCCAGTCTCTCAACCAACTCTATGATGGTCTCTCACACCACAGAACTGAGCAGGAAAAGGCATATTTAAATGAATTTCATTCATATATACTAGTCTGCCTCAAATCTATATTATTTTTTTGATTTTTTTTTTTAAGATTTTATTTATTTATTTGACAGAGAGAGAGAGAGACAGTGAGAGAGGGAACACAAGCAGGGGGAGTGGGAGAAGGAGAAGCAGGCTTCCCGCTGAGCAGGGAGCCCAATGTGGGGCTTGATCCCAGGAACCCGGGCTCATGACCTGAGCCGAAGGCAGACACTTAACGACTGAGCCACCCAGGCGCCCCTTTTTAAAATCTTATTTTTAAGTAATCTCTACACCCAACGTGGGGCTCAAACTCACAACCCCAAGAGAGAGGGAGGGAGATTGAGACAGCACGAATTATATGCATGTAAACTTATCTAAAAAAAAAAAAGAGAAAAACAATTTGTTTTTTTGTAAAAAATAATTTAACCCACTCTAACACTAGGTTCACTTTAGCAGTAAACTAATAAGACAAAGATTTCAACAAGAACACCGTATTTCTGTTTTTGGTTCCACTATTACCCTGTTTTATGATGTTAATACATTTGAAAGCAAAAAATAAAAACCTGGAACTACTCAGGGAACAGCATTTTAAAGATGAGATATAAATGACAAGTGGAATCTACTTGTACAGAGAATCATTTAAATAACTCAAATAGAATGGGGTGCCCGGCTGGCTCAGTCAGTAAGCATGTGACTCTTGATGTCGGGGTCATAGGTTTGAGCCCCATGTTGGACACAGAGTTTACTAAAAAACAACAACCACAACAACAACTCAAGCAAAAAACAGGGAAAACAGAAAAGAAAATCTAGTTTCCCCAAAACACCAAATGAGAACGTAAGTCTTTAAACACAATTAGTCAAAATAATGTCTGAAAAATGGCCTCAAAACAAGTTAAATATTAAATGTTTAATAAAAGACATGACTATATAAATTACAGATTATCAATTTGATGGATTATAACACAATCATTTAAAATAATAAACATGAGGGCACCTGGGTGGCTCAGTCATTAAGCATCTGCCTTCGGCTCTGGTAGTGATCCCAAGGTCCTGGGATCAAGTCCCGCATCAGGCTCCCTGCTCAGCAGGAAGCCTGCTTCTCCCTCTCCCACTCCCCCTGCTTGTGTTCCCTCTCTTGTTGTCTCTTTCTGTCAAATAAATAAGTAAATCTTAAAAAAAAATAAAGAAATGAATAAATAAATAAGACAATAAAATAATAAACATGAGGGGGTGCCTGGGTAGCTCTGACAGTTAAGCGTGCAGCTCCTGATTTGGGCTCAGGTCATGATCTCAGGGTTGTGAGATCCACCAGGCTCTGCGCTCAGCAGGAAGTCTGCTTGAGATTCTCTCGCTCCCTCCCCCTCCCCCATCCTCCCCACATGCTAGGGCGTGTGTGCATGCTCTCTCTCTCTTAAATAAATCTTAAAAAATAAACATGAAGACATGGAGCTACATGTACACAGAACAAAGCTGCACTCAGCACAATTTTGTAAAAATATGCAAATATATAAAAACCAGAAGAAAAAAACATAAAAACAGCTGACATAAAAATATGGACATAATTTTTAAAAACTGTCTAGAATGTATGCTGATTTAACAGTAAATTTAAAACAGATTCATAGAGCGGTTTTCTAAAGTCCCAATTTAAATGCAAATGTAGTCATGAACTCACTTGTTTTAACTGACTCCGTCTTTTTGACAAAAGCATAATATTTTCATTAAGTAAATCCCATTCTTTAGCCTCATAGCACATCTTCACTACTGCAACTAAGATGCGGGATGTAGACACCATATCAGAAGCCTGTAAGAATGAAAATATACTGAAGTTAATGGAGCACAGTTAAATGAAATTAATGATAATTGAGGTTTTCACTATAATCTACTCACAGTGCGGGTCTGTTTCTCCAAAGAGAGAAGGGTTTCAATGACTTCTTGAAGTCTTCCTTCCTAAAACAAAAGATAAAAATGAAGAATAAAAACACTACCACCAACACAAAACCAAACAAACTAGTTTATTTATTTTATTTTTTTTTAAAGATTTTACTTATTTATTTGAGAGGGAGAGAATGAGAGATAGCACAAGAGGGAAGAGGGTCAGAGGGAGAAGCAGACTCCCTGCCGAGCAGGGAGCCCGATGCGGGACTCGATCCCGGGACTCCAGGATCATGACCTGAGCCGAAGGCAGTCGCTTAACCAACTGAGCCACCCAGGCGCCCCCAAACAAACTAGTTTAAAACGAGATGTTTCTGACACAGAAAAGAAAAAAAATCCATTTTAGAGGAAAAGGGCCACCCCCACTACTACTACTATTTGGTTTTCTCCTCTTGGTAGTGCTTGCTTTTCCTGTGAACTCCCTAAGTCAGTGGTTCCTAAAGTAGGGCCCACAGGCTGTTTTTAATAGTTCAAAAAGCCTAAGAGAAACTGAATATAGAACAATGATTTAATACCTGAAAAAAAGTCATTTTGGATTCTAAATGATCAACTCAGTGTGGTAACCTGATTATCTTGTTCTGAACTGAGACTCTAAGTGGCACTCACAAGTGTCTTTGAAGAATAAAAATAGAAAAAATAAATGATTTATGAAGTCACCATAACAAATACTTTAAAACATGAAATTTCGAGGAAAAATATAAAGGATGTTTGGTGGTGAAAAGACAAGAAACCCTGGTTTAATTTTTCAATGACTTTTTTTTTTTTTTTTTTAAAGTAAGCTCTATGCCCAGAGTGGGGCTTGAACTCACAACCTTGAGATCAAGAGTTGCATGCTCTGCCAACTGAGCCAGCCCGGAGCCCCTAATTCTTCAATGACTTTTAAAGTAAATTATAATTGCGCTTAAAGGAAATAAAGACCACCTGAGAATATCCATAATAGTATGCCAAAGGTCACACTTTTAAGCAGATACTGATTCAAATGGAATACCCTTTTTTGTCAACTGACAATAACCTCTATCTCTCTTATGCAAAAACAAAATATTTTTTCTGGGACGCACGTTAGGAAATGGGAAAAACAAAATCCAAATGATATAAACCTAAATGATAATATCAGGACTAAAATAAGCTATCCTATTAAGAAGCACACATTGTGGGGCGCCTGGGTGGCTCAGTCGGTTGAGCGTCTGCCTGCCTTTGGCTTGGGTCATGATCTCGGGGTCCTGGGATTGTTCTCTCACTCTCAGTCTCTCTCAAATAAATAAAATCTAAGGAAAAAAAAAACCCCAAACCAAAACAAACTACATTGTGATAAAAACAAAACCAGCCCACAGCAAAAAAAAAAAAAAAAAATTGGAAGTACTTAAGATACTGGTATTAATAACAGTGAATGAATTAGAAGTGATGAGGAGGGTTTTATTTTGAAATTGGCTTTCTAACTATAAATGAAATTACTATTTTTTATTTACTTTTTTAAAAAGATTTCATTCTTAAGTATCTCTACACCCAACGTGGGGCTCAAACGCACAACCCCAAGATCAAGAGCCACATGCACCACCAAGTGAGCCAGCCAGGTGCCCTGAAACTTATTTTATTTTAATGACATGCATGGATAGTACATGAGTACTACTTTTTTATTGATGAAAGAAACAGTTTTTGAATTAAGGATACAAATAATGTTTTGACTTTTCAAAATACTCTTTCCATATTTTCCAAGATAATGTTTAAACTATGAATTTTCTATGGAGCAAAGAATGTGTACTGTACAGCCATTATTTGAACTTACTATAATTAAATCTGAAACATGATTACTAGCATTGTAACAATGTTTCCTATGCAAAGGGGGAGTATCAGTTCTGCAAATTCTATAGATTCATGTGTATCATGAATGCTGACTAAATGTCCATCAGAGGAAAACAAAGAACAAATCCATAAATTCTTCAAAGTTAAAGGCTAATAAATCATAAAAGATCAAAGAATCTTAGCACTGTAAAGACTGCTGAAGATTATTTAATCCGATCACATCATTTTAGACTATAAAAAGACTAAGGACCAAACAGCTCAGCCACAAAACTTATCAGCAGAACCAGAACCCAGGGCTCTTGCCTCCTGGCCCAATGTTCCCTCCATGACACCAAACTGTAATTAGTTTAAATCACACCTTTGCTTCCATCTAAGTAATTTCCATTAGGGAAATAGTTACTATCTGGCAACAAATGTAGTGTAAAAATAGTTAAAATGCAAAATCTGTTCATTAATGGTCATCTGTCATTTTTGCAATTACTATTAGTCATCTGACTATAATCAACAGGGTATAGTTTATGGTATTTTAATTCTGAAGTTTTTTTGTTTTTTTTTTTTTAAGATTTTATTTATTTGAAAGACAAAGTGAGAGACCAGAGGGAGAGGGAGAGCCCAATGCGGGGCTCAATCCCAGGACCCTGGGATCATGACCTGAGTGGAAGGCAGACGCTTCACTGACTGAGCCACCTGGGTGCCCCCAGAGTATGGGTTTTAAAGAGCTGCACTCTACATGTGAAGGAATCACATAGCACTTTAGAGCCATAGGCTCTAGGTATCAACAGAACATTAGCGGTCACCTTCTCAGGAAGGCATTTTTTTTTTTTAAGATTTTATTTATTTATTTGACAAGAGAGAGAGACAGAGAGAGAGGGAACACAGCAGGGGGAGTGGGAGAGGGAGAAGCAGGCTTCCCGTGGAGCAGGGAGCCTGATGCGGGGCTTGATCCCAGGACCCTGGAATCATGACCTGAGCCAAAGGCAGATGCTTAATGACTGAGCCACCCAGGTGCCCCTCAGGAAGGCATTCTTAAATAACTCCCCATAGTCAGTGGGTTAGTCAGCACTTCCTTCTTTAACTCACAAGCCCCCTGACTTTCTGCTTTGTAATGACTCCAAACTCTTTTCTATTTTAACACTGTCTTCCTAGTCTCACTAGAATGTAAATTCTGTAAGAAAAGGGACTGCGTGCGTCTATACTGTTCACCACTGTAGCTCACTCTGCACCTGGCAAAGCACATCATGTTGCTTCTGTAGATATGGTACATCCCTTTATACCTTGTACCAGTTATTAACATGCATGTCTTGCCTCCTAAGTGGTCTCTAAGTTCCTTCAGGGCTGGACCACGTTTGATCGTTTCCCACGCACCAACTTGTACACAGTATGCACTGACAATGACCAGAACTATCAGATGACCTTAAGGGCTCTGAATTCCTGATTCTCACTGTCACACTACGTAGGATGTGACAAGTTACATGGCTGGCAATTCAGCGATTTGAGGGACGCTACCATCAACTTCATTAAATACAACTCCCAATTATCTAAACATCCCATTTTTTTCTCCCACGCTTCCATGTTCAAGGCTATGGCTAGCCATCTTCCTCCTTTCTTTCCTATCTTCACACAGTTCTTGAAATTCCACCTCCTCGATCCTGCTTTTCAACTCAGAGGAACGAGATGGTCGGAGCTATCAAAACCAACTCGTCAGAACATGTGACTTTTGTGACTCATTTTTCTCAACAAAATAATCTCTGTAAATGAGGTAAATGACTAAGGAGTTTGTTCAACATCAATACATGTTGGGTATCTGCAAATTCCGTATGTTTGTGTCCTTTAACTCCTAAATGGATCCAATCTTTTAATGATTTGTTAAACAACCTAAGTAAGAAAAAGACCAACAGCTGAAATTTAATGCCAATCCAATGCTTTCACAGGACCTATGTCTTAAAGGCGGGGGGGTCTCTTTGTCCAAGCTGCTAACAGTCAATAAACTGTTTTACATTTCACCTCCTCTTTATTTTTGATATTAACCTTGAGAAGATGCTGCAGCTAATCAAATGAAAAGACAAGAACCACCAAAGGATATATTCAATTTAAGAATGGAAATAATCTCCAAATATCCACGTACCAAATATACCATAATCAAGAAGGGTGGTGGTGATCCTCTGTGTATTAGGAACTGCTCTGTACTACATAGTTACAGTTCAGAAAAGGCCCTCTTTGGATTAAAACAAGGGTGAAGCACTAACCATTACCAAGAACTAGTATCACTCTTACTATCTCACCAACCTCAAATACCAATCACAGAGGCATCAGAATGTAATGGTTAAAAACAAAGGCTCTGGGGCGCCTGGGTGGCTCAGATGGTTAGGCGTCTGCCTTCGGCTCAGGTCATGATCCCAGATTCCTGGGATCGAGTCCCGCATCAGGCTCCCTGCTCCTTGGGAGCCTGCTTCTCCCTCTGCCCCTCTCTCTCTCTCTGTCATGAATAAATAAAAATCTTAAAAAACAACAACAACAAAAAAAGGCTCTGCAAGCCAGACTACTTGGGTCTAAATGCCAAGTCTTAACACTGTGTTACCTCAGGCAAGACACTTACCCTCTCTGACCCTTAATTTTCTCTTCAGTGAAATAAGCATAATAATTCCTGCCCCACAGGGTTGCTGTAAGGATTAAAACAATACCAGGGCACCTGGGTGGCTCAGTCATCAAGCGTCTGCCTTCCGGCTCAGGTCATGATCCCAGAGTCCTGGGATCAAGCCCCACATCAGGCTCCCTGCTCAGTGGGGAGCCTGCTTCTCTCTCTCTCTCCCTCTGCCCCTACCCCCCCAACCGCTTGTGCACTCTCTAATAAATTAAATATTTTTTTTAAAATACACAGCAATAAATATTAGTGACTGGTGTTATTTGTTGAATGTGACATGAGTGTTGGGATACAAAAACATAGGTCATTGTAGGAGATTCAAATGGCCTAGATTTGGCAATTTTACCACTCACATCTAGACTTCAGTTTGCCTTTTGAAGGTTTCTGCTATCTGTGCTTTTCTCACTGGGTACATTCTTATTTTCTATACACATACATTTTGTCTTTCACATTAAAAATAAAAAATGACTGGGGCGCCTGTGTGGCTCAGTCGTTAAGCGTCTGCCTTCGGCTCAGGTCAAGCCCCACATCGGGCTCCCTGCTCGGCGGGAAGCCTGCTTCTCCCTCTCCTACTCCCCCTGCTTGTGTTCCCTCTCTCGCTGTGTCTCTGTCAAATAAATAAAATAAAAAATAAATAAAAAATGACTTAAGTACAAAAGTAAGTCTCTTAAAGAGGTCGTAGAATATAGCAAAAAACACTACCTGCTGCTAGGAGACCTGAGCATGACCTGGCTTTGCTGCAGACCTTGGATAAACCACTTAAGCTGCAAGAATCTTAGTTTTCTCACAAGTAAAAACAATAAAACTTTCTTTAGTTTTATCGATGGGCTCAAAGTAAAAAACTGAAGAATGTACGCTAAAGTGTTCTATAGGGGCACCCAGGTGGCTCAGTTGGTTAAGCATCTGCCTTCAGCTCAGGTCATGATCCCAGAGTACTGAGATAAAGTCCGGCATTGGGCTCCCCGCACAGCGGGGAGCCTAGTTCTCCTTCTCCCTCTGCTGCTCCCTCTGCTTGTGTGTGCATGCACACACACGCTCTCTCTGTCAAATAAATAAATAAAATCTTTTACAAAATAAAATAAAAGGCGAAACAAAGGAACAAATCTTAAAATTAACTAGATGGTAAGACAACCATCTAATCCAAAAGTTGAAAATTGTAGGTTTGCATTAAGGAACAAAAATGAAAACACTTATGCCCTGCCATCCCCCAGCCCTCTACCTGCCCTTCACAAAAATAATCCATACCTGTGCCTTGTTTTGTTTCACTGGCTCACTGGCTTTAAAAAAAAAAAAAAAATGCAAATGGCTTTAATTTTACCTAGTTTAACAGGCCCCAACATTCCCTGTTTGAAACATTTGTTACCAATTTGACACCTAAAAAGGCATTTGATTTTGCAAGTCTTTTCAACCATGTGGAACTAACCACAATGTCCTAAATAAAAGCCATACACATGATTACAACTGTAACAGTGAAATTTTTTTCTTACTGGCCTATAAGCTATCTGAGGGCAAGAGCTTTGTCTAATAATAATCTTTATACTCCCCACAATGTCTAGCACTGACTACTGACAGTAGGCTATCAGAAGAAATCGGTAAAGGGAAGATTTTTTTCTCCCAGATCTCAGCTTTAGGAATAGCTGTACTTCTTTAAAGCAAATGGTTTCTTCCTTTGGACACTAGCAATCAATGACTTCCAAAGTGGTGGTTCAGGGGCTGACTTTGGCCCGTACGTATGTTTTGTTCGATCTATGTGGTATTGGCTCAAATGTGTTTTAAAACAGATTTGTGTCCAGTTTCTAAATATTGAGGCAATTCATATAAAAAAAAACCCCTCCATATTCCTAGTTTCTCCCTCAAATTAGAAGAGTTGACAAGGCTTGGCCTTCATCTCCAATAGGCAAAGATTAACTGGAGGTGAAGAGTTACTGCCCCCTTTCCCTGGACAGGTGCTCAGAAGTTCAGGTTTTCATTACACTTGGCTCCCTAGGCAGGATAGCATGGTGAGAGCACAAGCACCAGAATCAGTCCACTTGGTTTGCATCCTGGCTCCACCACTTTACTAGCTGTATGACCTTGGAGCTCGTGACTCAACTTCTCTTAGACTGTATTCATGTCTGTAAAATAAGAAGAACAATACCTATCACATAGGCCTAAGGTGAGGACCGAATGAGCTAATGCACGCAAGCACTCAGAAGAGTGTCTGGCACTGCAGAAAGTACTCACTAAATGCCAGGAATTGTTATCCGCCTGGCACTATAGGTGTCTTCCAACCCTTATATACACGATGTTTCTTTACGCTAGCTTCCAGTAAGTACAGAGATGAATTCATGGCTGCCCTCCATCAAGTGTACTGAAGTTAAGAAATTCAGGTATATCAACTTCATCATCTTTCCCTATCCCTGTCTTTTGTAAAGCTCTATTAAATCCTTTATCAGAAAAAAGGGAAGTATTGAAAAGGTTTCTTTCTAAGAAATATTACTGTGAAATAATACTTGACACTCCTCCTGTCCCTGAATTTATTACACTTAAATGTACTTATGCAGTAAGCTTCTTTAAGGGACAGAAACAACTCTATTAGTACATGCATCCCAGGTGAATAGCAATAAGTGTTTGTGGCTGGATTGAACAAGGAATTTAATGAGGACTGACAGTAAGGATTCTTAGCAACAGCCCATGATGGGAGTTGATTTAACAACCATCCAAACCCACTACAGACAGAACCTAGTTTTGAATCCCCGGTTCTATTACTAACTGTAACGTTCCACAAGAAACTCTCCAAGCCTTGGTTTCTTTATATAAAATGATACATAAAGTTGCCTGGCACATAGCGGGGGTGGGGTGGGGGTGGGAGGGGTATAAATGTTAGGATCATGTTAAATTTCTATTCCAGGGGAGATAAGCAGTTGGGCTAAACCACTGTTCATGACCTCCCTTAAAGAGGTTATCCTGCACTTATGTGAAGTTTGTCTTTACTTCTGCAGTTCCCGCTCCAGGAACGATTCCTCCCCATCCCAATTTTTAAGGCCCAATACAAACGTCAACTTCTCTGTAAAACCTTCCCTTATCCCACCAGTAAGAACGAACAACTTCCTTCTCTGTTCCAGCGGCACGTTTACACTTGTGTGAAACTCACCACCCCGCCTTACTCGTCTAATTCGTGATGTATACGAACTCCTTAAGGACAGGAATCCTGTGCTAACCACCTTCGCCCCTATCACTTTCCTAACCCTTCTCCTGGCTAAAGGCCAGGAACATCCCATGATCCATAAGCAACTTAACTACACAAATTGATTCAGCAACGGCAACAGAACTCAACTCTCTGATCTAGCCTGAACGCTGAAGCGGCCTTAACCCCTGGGAAACTGCTAAAGTAAACGTTAAACAGTACCAAGAAACGGTAAAAAGTACTATGGGGCCCCAACTCCTCCGGGAAGTGGCCATCTGTCCTGGGGAGGGTTTGGGAAGCTGTATGCACTAGCATACTCCCGCTAAGGAGCGGACCTGGGAACTCCTACTCATGCAGGCCCAACTCGGGCTGGACAGGCAGTGGGAGACGCGCCCTCCAGCCAGCAGGCCCCCTGAGGCCTAAGCAAGCTCCGCGCCGTGACTCAGCCCTCGGCGCCCGCCAAGAGCCAGCCGGCCTCCCCTCACCTTGGCCAACTTCTCGCACTCGGGCAGTCGTTGATCCACCGTGGCGCTGTAGTCCACCTCCATCTTGACGATGCGCCCATCAGCCCGCTCCGAGCCGCCGTCCGCCATGGTCCCTGCCTGAACGTCCCTTGATGTCCCCCTGATTCGGCCACCACTCGTCACCCACACCGGAAGCCGCCTGCGCACCCGCTCAGGCAGTGCGTCGGGAGCCCGTGCGAAGGACCCCACGAGGCCCCCTGCGCTGGCCACCAGTCCGGCACTGCCGCGGACAGCCCTGGGGGCGGGGTTGGGGGCGGGGTTGGGGGTGGGGTTCACCCTCGCCCCTGCAGCTCACGTCCGGTTTTGTCTCGGTGACAGTCAGTCATCCAAAATTTGCGGCGGTGAGAAAAACTAGTGTAACAGAGTAGACCGCCCCATATAGTCTTACAGTCCTGCTTTGAAATATTATTTTTCAGAAATGTAGGCAAGTCGCTTAACTTTTGTTGGATCTCAGTGTGCTCATCTGTGCATGAACAGGCTGAAATAAACCCTAAAGAAAAAAGTTCTAAAGTTTCATCTGGTTGAGAATCTTGGTAGTTTAATCTGTGACATCTCTCAAAGCTCAAAGAGAAGGTATAACAGCGGTTTGGTGATAAAACAAGGTTTTTATTTGTTTGTTTTCATTTTTACTATAATCCACAACGTGGATAAAAAGAATCTTTAGAAAGGCATTTTATTGGCTTTCTCTGTAGGCCTCTTGTGAGCACCAAGCGAGATCATGTATGCGAGGTTATTTCAATTTTTAAGTACTGTACAAGTTTTCATTATCATTCGCACCATCTAGGTCCCTATTAAAAAGTTTAGGATGCTTGAAAGTGAAAATGAGGTTGTGGTGTGGTCAAAGTGTGAACAGTAGCCTCCCAAGCAAATGGGAAATCTTGGAATGGTCTACCTGTTAGTGAATTTAATCAGCACCAGCATCCCTTTCTATATGCTGAATAGACCTTGTTTTGTTGTTGTTGTTTGTTTTTATTGTTCTGTACTCAAAATCATGGATAATGTAACCCATCTGCACACATAATTAAAAACAACAAAACATCCTAGCTGTAATGTAAAGGAGAAGCATTGCAAAATAGCAAAATAAAATACATTATTCAAAATATAAAGGTTAAGAGTGCCTGGCTGGCTCAGTCGGAGAAGCATGCAACTCTTAATCTCCGGGTGGTGAGTTCCAGCCCTACCTTGGGTGTAGAGATTATTTAAGTAAATAAATAAACTTCAAAATATAAAGGCTAAATACGTCTATCATAGGAGATAAAAAAGAAGTCATTTACTTGTACACATATGTAACAACTGTAAAAGCAAAATCTGCAATAGATATGTTTTCATTGGTTCCCCAGGCATCATAAGGGCTTACTGTGGGTGGCATGATTTTTCCAAAGTGGTGTACAACTTCTTGGTAAAGTTCTGTCTATATGAAAGTACAGTCTTTCATTGTTTTTCACATAGAAGAATTCTTAGAAATTCTTTGTGCAGGGGTGCCTGGGTGGCACAGTTGGTTGAGCGTCCAACTTTTGATTTCTGCTCCGGTCATGATCTCAGGGTCATGGGATCCAGCTCAGCCAGGAGTCCGCTTAAGATTTTCTCCCTCTGCCCCTCCCCACCTCCCCTCACATGCATATGCTCGAGCACTCTCTCTGTCTCTTTCACATAAATCAATCTTTAAAAAAAAAATTAGTGTATATTAAAACTTCAAAAAATAGGGGTGCCTGGGTGGTTCAGTCGTTAAGCATCTGCCTTCGGCTCAGGTCATGATCTCAGGGTCCTGGGATCGAGCCCCACATTGGGCTCCCTGCTCTGCGGGAAGCCTGCTTCTTCCTCTCCTACTCCCCCTGCTTGTGCTCCCTCTCTGTCAAATAAATAAATAAATAAAATCTTAAAAAAAAAGCTTCAAAAAATAGCATATGTGAAATGGAGTTAGAGTCTAGGCCTCAGACACATAAGTAGGTGTCCGGCAGGACATTGAAAAGTCAGGTGGAATGTGGGACGGTATTTTACTGTCCAGGTTTGTTGCATTGTAGATGTCTGGCATCCCAATTACATGCGGATACCTCCCTTTCCCCCCCAATGATCGTGACAACCTGAAATACCCACACAAATTTCTAGAACACATGCTAGGAGCCAGAATTGTTGAGGCACGCTAGGCTAAGATGTTTTCTGGCTCTTTATTCAATGTGCACTTGGTTTGACTAGAGACAAAGTATTTGGAGGTTTACATTTTGTGTGAAGAGTGTGAAAGACAAAAAGTAACAAAGGTGTAATGGAGTAAATGGATTTATGGGTTCCAGGACTCAAAAAATAAGAGTGAGAAAGGGTCTAAGAAAGAGGTTAATAGGTGGAGAAAACTCTAGTTGGCTCTCAACACCAAACTGAAGCCCTTCCTTGCTAGGCTGAGAGATCATGGAAAACGAAAGCACATTGAAATCTAAGGAAAAGCTTGCAAAGGAAACAACAACAAGAACAGAGAAGTAAAGAAGGAACTCAGTAAAAGTCTGAGCCAACAGAGAAATTAGGTAAAGTACTGTTATATAGATAGACTCTTTATAAATCCTTTATTTGGGGGAGTTTGACATTGTAAGTAAGAATTTAGTTTCAGAAGAGAAAATTAGCAAAGAATAAGGACTCTGAAAGGTAGAAATGAAACCGCTATAGAAACGTAAAAATAGATGGAAATTAAGATAGACACACTAGTTGGGGCATCCTACTGGCTCAGCCTGCAGTCCGCTGATCTTGGGGTCCTGAGTTCAAGCCCCACGTTGGCCTGAGAGATTAAAAAAAAAAAAAAAAAGATTGGGACCATGAGTTCGAGCCTCACTTGGACAGTAGAGATGACTTAAAAATAAATAACAATGCAATTTGGGCGCCTGGGTGGCTCAGTTGGTTAAGCGACTGCCTTCGGCTCAGGTCATGATCCTGGAGTCCCGGATCGAGCCCCGCATCGGGCTCCCTGCTCAGCGGTGAGTCTGCTTCTCCCTCTGACCCTACCCCCTCTCATGTGCTCTCTCTCTCTCTCATTCTCGCTCTCTCAAATAAATAAATAAAATCTTTAAAAAAAAAATAACAATGCAATTAAGAAAAAAAGATGGACACACTAGAGCTTCAGCAAGGCTTGACTTTAAACTGAACACATTTTTCTCTTCCTCATTCTTGAAGCCTCCCCTCCTCTTCCCCTTCATTTGTTTTTCTGTAGAATCCTGTTCCAGGAACTCCTTACCAGTATTGACATCCCGCTGACCTCAATGTATACTTAACGAGACTCATGGCCAGTGCCACCGCTGGTCATAAGACCACTTGAAGACGTGAACCCGGCTGGCAGCACGGACCAGATTCCTATCGAAACCACCCAGATCCTGTATTTTCCTATAAAACCCCGCAGCCTTTTACCCTGGGCAGGCTTGCAGTCTTTGGAGCCATGAGCCTGCTGCAGCCTCCTTTGCCCTGCAAAGTCAGAAGCTATCTTCCTTCTGTAAACCCAAACTCTGTCTTCGAGTTACTGCTCCGGGGCTCGGAGGTCGGTTTTCCACAACAGAGAGAAATACTGATTGGAGAAACAGTGGTAAAGTATATCATGATACTAATTATTGAAACTCACAAGTCTATATTAACGACTATGTTTGTTTTCATATCTGGCATCTCTGGCACGTTCAGCTTATCGGCCGTGCACACATCGGACCCAAAGTTCCCACCTTTGTGAAGTGAACATTCTAGTGGGGACGGGGGGACAGAAAATAAACATGTAAATATGGAGCAGGTGTGATAGTGAATGGGAGGTGGTCACGGAAGGCCAGGCTTGTGAGCCAAGACCTGCAGTCAATAAGAGAGTCTTTTTTTTTTTTTTCCTATGTAATCTCTGCCCCCAATGTGGGGCTCGAACTCCCAACCCTGAGACCAAGAATGGCATGCTCCACAGACTGAGTGCCCCAGGAAAGGAGTCTTGCAGATAGTTGGGTGAAGAAGATTCCAGGCAGAGGCAAGAGCAAGAACCCCGACGTGAGAGCAATCAGATCACTCCGGCTTGTCTGAAGACCAGAATGAGTGAAGGCAAGAGTTGCAAGAGATGAAGTTTCGACCATTATAAGGACTTGGTTTCTAATCTGAGTAAGATAGGAAGCCAGTGGGGGTTTTAGGCGAAGGAGTGGCATGAGCCAACTTACATAGTGAAAGAACCTTCTGGCTGCTGTGTGGTGACTAGGTTGAGTAGAAGCTGGGAGACTAGCTGGGAAGTTATTGTAATAATTTGGGAGGAAAATGATGGTGGCTTGGACTAAGGGAGGAGAAAGGGCTAGATCCTGGGTATAACCTGAAGATAGAGCCAAGATCGGATTTGCTGTTGGCTGTGGGGGTAAAGAGGTCACATATGTCAGCAAGATTTTTGGTCTGAGTGTCTGGAAAGATGGAGTTGCCATTTACCAAGAAGGAGCAGGTTAGGGACAAGCGAGTCAGACAGAAAGGGACGAAGCCCAGTGTTGCATATGGTAAGTTTGAGGGCCGTACTGGGTATCCAGTGACAATGTTGAAAAGGCAAATGCATATACAAGGGTCAAACTGAGGGGAGTCCTTTGGGCTAGAGGTTTGAATTTAGGAGTCATTAACATATTGATTGCATCTAAAGCCAAGAGGCTTACATTACAGAAATGTTCCTGAAATGTGTGTGAAACATTTGTTTTTCTAAATTGCCTCTTTTAAAGGCAGTGAGAGGGGTGCCTGGCTGGCTCAGTGGGGAGAACATTTGACTCTTGATCTCAGGGTCATGAGTTTGAGCCCCATGTTCAGTGTGGAGATTACTTAAATAAAAACTTTTTTTAAAAAAAGATTTTATTTATTTATTTGACAGAGAAAGACAGCGAGAGAGGGAATACAAGCAGGGGGAGTACAAGGGGAAGAAGCAGGCCTCCCGCTGAGCAGGGAGCTGGACGTGGGGCTCTATTCCAGGACCCTGAGGTCATGACCTGAGCTGAAGGAAGATGCTTAATGACTGAGCCACCCAGGCGCCCCAATAAATAAAAACTTAAAAAAAAATAAAGGCAGTGGGAGAACTTGCTATTTTCAAGTCTGTTGTAAATCATTTTCAAAGAAAATTATACTGTATTTTATCTTTTGAGTAAATCTCTTGGACTTTTGTTAGAATTATTTCATGTCAAGTACCATTATAT